GAATAGAATAGAATAGAATAGAATAGAATAGAATAGAATAGAATAGAATAGAATAGAATAGAATAGAATAGAATAGAATAGAATAGAATAGAAAATCCTTTCATTGTCCCACAATGGGGAAATTGTGGCGTTACAGCAAAACTATTTTTTGGAGCAAATTAAAGGAGCAACCTAGCAGAAAATCATTTTAGTTTTTGAAACTTTAACTTTTTCTAACAGTAATAAACATCAAGACTGGAGAGTGGCCGATTTGTACTTTCACACAATTTTATCAGATAAAAACCCACAAGATGTTTGAATATGAAAAAAAATTCATTGTTCAATCAAAACTACTCAAGAATGTGTGAAAGTATGATTTTAACGATTTTATCTGAGGGGGAAAGATATACTTTCTCACTCTATTCCAGCTATAATACCCTATGAAATGCATAACTTTCAGACACAATCTCATGATTTCATATTTATATAAGCAAATGCAAAACCAAATTAGAAATTGACTTTTGAATGTAAAATTAAATGAATATGAATTTTCATTAGATATCAGCTTTTCCTTAAACTTAAACAGCTGAAATACTGATCCAAGCACATGGACGAAGGAACAAACATTTAAACAGGCTGTCCTTATTTACCAAAACAAAACAATTCATTTTAAAGACAGCAGGATTGTCGTTAAAGGCCAAAACAGCTGCTATGTTAAGGCTGTAGAAAAGAGAAAGATTAGGAAATCTGTGCTGAGTTCTGTAAGGAAACAAGGCCTGGGTGAGCAACAGTAGTTAAAGATCACAGAATGTTTTTCAATGTGAAGAAAAATCCCTTCACAACAAATGCAGAGCACTCCACAGGAGGTAGACATGCCATTATCCAGGCTTACAGATAAAGCGAGCTCGTTTAGCATTGACAATAAAAAAGTGCCACTAAACTTTACCAAAAAAATATATAAAAAAAACTCCTGAAATGACTTAGAAAGTGTACATCATCTTCAAAACATAGTTATGCAGTGTGATAACTCCTATGGCATCCAAATGCATTGGGTGATGAATGTTTTGATCATAATGTGGCTGAATAAGATCATGGATCATAGAGGAAAAAGGTTATGCTTTAAACCCAGCTGCAGAGCACAAAATGGCACATGGTAGTAAAACTTGAAAATACTGCATCTCTCTTAAAAGTTTCATATTTATGTTCAGAAAATCAAAACCATACATTTTATGGATTCCCATAAACACAGACTGGATTATTATCAAACCTGTAATTCTTGAAATTTTGATTATTATAGCTTACATTACAATGGGCTGCTGTAGCTTTCCAGAGCCGGGTCCACCCGTACTTTTTTGCTCTCGGGTGCTTGATTTAGAAATAAATATCTGAAAAAGTAGTAAGCAATTAAATGTGAGATATGTAATCCAAAAAAGAATGTTACTCCATTAGAGATTTCTCAGTCCTCAAAATGAGCATCCCTGGATTAAGTTCTGGCCCATGGACCTTTGGCTTTGTTGCATGTCTCCAACATAAACATTTCCTTTCAAATAACTTTTAAAACAAATACCAATAGTGCTTTAAAAAATAAAAATAGAGATTACCCCTAAGAA